GCTGAGAAGACCAATGAACACAAAGCTCGAGTACAATCTCCTTGTCCTTTCGTACAAGCACAAATAGGCTAGAATTAAATCAACAAGCAAAGAAACAGGATTTAAAACTAATCCGGACAGAGATATTCCCAACTTCGGACAACAAGTATCCAAACAAATATTCTTAACCGGAGAGTTTATCCACGAATCAATCAACAGAAAAAAAAAAATCCAACACGTGATTAAATTTAAACCGGAAGAAATATTCACAACTTTGGACAACGAGTATCCAAACAAAATATTCTTCACCGGAAAATTAATTCACGATTCAACAAGTAATCACAATTCAAACAAACAAGTAATTGCAATTCAACTTGAAATTAAAATGAATGAACTACGAATAATAATAACACAAAGGATTAGTAAATGTACCTGGGGCCGGGCACAGCCGGCATCCAAGACCACGTAGGTCAGCAGCGGGCAGCAGGGAGCGGGGGGGAAAAAATAAATCCGGTGGCACTCCGGTACACCAAGGATGTTTATCGTCAATTTACTTGAGCGGGGCCCGAGGTTGGGTTACCCGACTTACCGTAGGCAGCGTGGGCTGCTGTAGGGCTCGGTGGCAGAATCTGGATGGCGGCAGCGACACCCCCTAGCGGCAGCAGCAGTCTGGTCCGGCAGAGGCACTCTTGGACTCCGGCAGAAGGCTGTTTCTGGCCGCTGGAGCTTCTGGACAGCAGTTGGACTTCGGCAGGTGGTCTGGACAGCTCCGGCGAGTTCTGGGAGGCGGCGTACGGCGGCGACGCGGCGGCAGGAGGCTCCCCTTGCTCTGATACCACTGTTAGGAGGGTTTCCAGCTCAGGTCTCAACCAAATTAACATCCACAAAGGATGAAATCAACACTAGGATCACAAGGGGAGTAGTGGGCAACAACCTACGACCTTAATTCTGGCCAACAATTCCGTCAAACCCACAAAGGAGAGAAAAAGGAACGGACAGGTTCTGGGAATAGGTTTTCTTTCGCGGCCGGCCCTCAGTCCATCGGTAAAGAGAAGTATAAATAGGCGTACCAAGAAACAGAGATGGTAACTTACCTTTAATGGAGTGATGATTACTCGCACAGGTCCTGGACAAGGAAAGAATCGCACGGATGAAGAAGGAAGGCTGCGAACAAGAATTAACAGGGCAATGGACCGGCTACTCCTAAGGGGTGAGTTGGGCTTATGGATGAATTAAGTGGGCCAATACCAACAGTTTGTATGATACATAATTTAATAAATAAAAAGGTCTGGAGTCTAAACAAATACGTGGAATCATTTTATTGGAATTGAGCCCATGTTTTACTTTCATCAAACTTTTGAGTTTAATAAACAAACTTTAAGTGATTATTCTAGTTATTTTTGTGAAATAAACTAAAATTTCTGCACAGAAGTTTGGGGTTGTAATCATTAACTTTAATAACTTCTAGAATTTAAAAATGTGATTAGTATATTAAACGATGAAAATGCACATGAATTGTATCATAAAATAGCTTTAAAATGAATACATCACCCCTTAGAGTGGCTGCTGCAATGCCTCATTCACATAATCACATGGCTCTTATTTCTTTGAGTTCACACTGGCATGCCTAAAGATGGGATCATGGGGAGAACAGATTTGGCTAGCAGAGGTGTTGGGTTGGCCGAGAAAAGGCTCCAGCTTGACCACTGGCTTGAATATTATGACACCAAGAGTGAGAAGTTCATAGGGAAGTAATCTTGGCTTTATCAAACCTGGACAATAGCTGGTTTTCTGACATCCAAGATGCTCTTGAGAAATCCCGAAATATAGCTTCTTTCTTGTAACGCTAAACTTATGTATAGAGTATTTTTTTATATATGTATTTTCAAAAACACAAAGGATTATTGTATTTTAAGGAACCGATAAAATGCAAGAATCGAACCGTTAAATATGAATCGGTTCCTTAACGGATCTACGTTTTTTTTTTCTAGAACCGAACCGATATCAAGAATCAGACATTTCTTAACGGTTCCACCAATTTTAATCAGGAACCGAACCGGTCCCAGGCCTACTTTTTTGATAATGAAAAGATTAAAGCAAACAAAGAATGAGAAAAAAAGGATGGTGATCGATCTGAACGATGAGTGGAGAGTGCGACTATAGATCAGAGAGAAATAAGAAAAAAGAAACGAGGTAGGGGAAGTGCGCCACATGTTGGGTTTATTATGAAAAAACGGTACCATATTTGGGATCAGTATACCATGCACAATTGGTATACCAATCCCATGGTATAATTTATGTATACTAGGAGAAAACCTTATTTTAGTTGCTTGACAAGCATATTTTCCGTAAACAATTGGTGATAATATTGAAAATTTGTTTGTAAGATTGACAGGAAAGTAGTCAGAGCAGAAGGAAATACACATGAATTGAAATCAGCCATCTGCATAATGTGAATTCAAATCCACTTAATAATTCTAACTAAAATTACTAGCACTCATATATTTGTTTCAAAAATCAAAATAACCACTTTGAATATATATTGTGCTCCCAGGATGTTCATTAATTTATGACGTGAAGTAAAAACAAGAAATCAGAGTTCAAGTTTTGGGATAAAACAACGCAATTTAAAGGCTTCAAGCATTAGTTTACTTGGATTAGTGCGGAAAATGGGTTGCTGTGATTTAAGTAAGGTCCATAGTCCAATCAAATAATCAACGAGCCGGATTCGAGGCTGAAGGTAGTGTTCCAAACCCGGAGTAACTTAGGGGTGTTTGATATTGATTCTGTTTCTGTTTGTTTTTTAAAGCAAAAACAGAATCGAAATCAAAAGATGGTCTCCTACAACTTCTAAAAAATTGATTCCAGGAGTAAATTAGAGTATCAGAATTACTTCTGCATTTTCATCCAAACACCCAACAATTGCACAAATTTCAACACAATTTTTACTTTATTAATCCACGTAAAAGTCATAAACACATAAACACAAACTTTGGCCAACCTTTTCGGGACGGAGGGAGTATAAAATAGTCATAAATTATTCAAATCAGTGTCAAAACACATATTCAAAAATCATATTAATTTATCCAATCTTTTATTTATCACCCCCGCCCCACACACACATTTACTTTTCTGCTAACTTTCCTATGTTTTTCCTTCCGCTTTTTCCCAAATTTTCCAGGTTCTGACACGACAACAATTTTAAGAATCAGATCTAAACACCCTTATTCATGTGGGAGACTATTACGTTCGCGGTAGAAGGTAATGTTCAAAAGGCTTAGGCTATGTTTGGCATGCATATATTCATGTCTTCTAGCTTTTGTACTAATTTAAAAAGTCTTTAAAAGGTTCTAGACGTATGTTTGAAATGCCAATTTTTAAGAGTTTTTATAAAAAAAAATAAAAGATCTTTTTGAAATGCTACAATGAGTAGCATCTCAGATAAGTTTGTGGCTTCTAGCATTAATTAGTCTCAACAGCTTATATACCAAACAGAGCTAAATAAAACAAGCAATTTTTTTTATCAAACAACTACAAAATTTTCCTTTTAAGATCTTTTCAGTTACAAAAAGCTAACAGTTAGTAAAAAGCTCATAAAAATAGCTTTTTAGCTAGTTGTGCTAAACATACCCTTAGTATTCTCACTAGAATTTTTGTCATTTTCGTTCTCCCGACTATTATGTCAATCACACTTTGGTACTCGACTATTAATTACTCCATATTTCATTTTTAGTCTTCGACTATTATGTGAGAGACATTTTTAGTATTTGATTTTAAAGTTTCAAACAATTAATCTCCTGAGTATGATCAAATTGACACATTTAATTAGTTTTTCTACTATGACTTTGAAACAATAAGTAGAGAACTAAAAATGTCACTATTATAAATTTGAAAAACAAAAAATGTTACTCCATATAGTACTATTTTGAAAGTCAAAAGGACCTAATATGGAATTTTCAAAGGCGGGTACTAAAAGTATATTTCAAACAATAATCGAAAGATTAAAAGTGGATAAAATCAAAGTCAAATATGTCAGTAACATAAAAATGAAAAGTTCGAAAGTGACAAAAAATCATTCTTGATCACTATTTCTTGACGGATGGAAGTCGAACTAATCCAAAACAGAAATGTTGACCGTGTGACTTCCAAAATAACCTACTACGTACAAAACAACTTGAAAACATTCTTTGTATAAAAATTCTCAAGACAAAATACACTACTCCGAAATTTATTAATGCAAAACATTATTCGGTATTAACCAAATTTTAAATTTTCATCATCTAATCACTAATCAGAAAGCAAAAGATGTGTAAATTTCAAAAAACTTATTACTAGTATATGTTTAAAATGAGAAAGTTATTATATTCTTATGTGGGGAATAAACCAAATTATATGCCTTATGTCTGCCGTATTCAGCTCCCATATCCCCATAATGGGTATTAAGATTCCCTTTAGGCTCAACATGCAACTCAACCTATATATCACCAACCAATTCAAGCACCTATGCATCAGTACAAATACCCTTTTTGCTTCATCAATAAGCTTCCAATATAATGCACCGAAATCATTCACATGGATATATATTGGATAGTAATTATATATCTTACTTAATTAGCTTAAAATGATTAATTACACACAAGATGCTAAATTAACATTTGTACATATATATAAATTAAATAAAGTGAAAGATCACTAGTTTACTGGCCGCTATAAACGAATTCAACCTTATATAAAGATCTGAATTTATTTTAAAAGTAAAAAAAGTTAATAAAGAAGAACTAGTTAAAGAAACAAAGAATTGAATACCTAGCTAATTCTAGCTACCTGATGTATCTTAACCCTAAGGTAATTAGCCAGAATAATACTTCCCAAGTTACATGAATATGAACTTGAAACAGAATCTACGCTTCCAATAATTTCAATTCCCCACTGATCAAGGAAAGCCTTAATTATAATTAATCTTCTCATTTAAATTATATCCTGCCTCATCTTATCCTATCTTCTCATCAAAAGAGCGAGCTAGCGAGCCAAGAATATAATTAAGATTAATTAATCTTATGCTTCATCTTAGCTGGTATATATTTCCCATCCACCGGAAGTAATCCTCTTAATAGTAGTCTCCACTATACTATTCTCTCCCCGCCGGCCGGCCGGCCGGAAAATCAAGAAATCAATTATCAAACGTGAAATTGTTGAAGTCCCACACCGAGAAATTGTGAAATAATATAGTGCTACCCCAAACACAAACCCATCAGCCATCATGATGTACAATGAAATATCCCACTTCAGCCACCCCAACCACAAGATGAAGTTCGAGTACTCCGAGCTGCCGTTCAAGTGCGACGGCTGCAACGAGGCGGGGATCGGGTCGCGGTACAAGTGCTCCGCCGCATGCGACTACGACCTCCACACGCATTGCGCCGTCCCGTCGTTGACCATCGCCCACCCTTTCTACACCAAGTGCTCCTTCCAGTTCCTCGCTCAGCCGCCGGGATGCGAGCCGAGGTACTGCAACGCCTGCGAGAAGGGCATTACCGGGTTTCTTTACCACTGTAGTTCTTGCGGCTTTGATCTCCATCCTTGCTGCGCTAAGCTGCCCATGGTGCTTCATGACGGAGAGGTTAAGCTTTACTTGTACCGCAAGGTAATTAATCTTTGGGTTAATTAATGAATCTTATTAGTCCCTCCATCTCAATTAAGGTTGTGGGTTGAGTAGGTCAAGAGTTTAAGAATAAAAAAAGTCATGTCTTTGAGGTAAGGTAAATGAAAAGAAAAGTGGGATTTGTTATTATTTATTTGATGATGTTGAACTTTGCACATCAGATCATTTTAAAAAATGTGTAAACTCCATTTTAGTATAAAATCATGTGAGTTTGATATTTTTGGAGAAATGGAGTTTCATTAATGACAATAATGTCAAAAATCACAAGAAAGAGGAAAAAGAAGAATGTGAACAAGAGAACGAAGGAGAACAAAGGAAGAGAAACAAAAAGAAAAAATCCAACCCGATCGAAGTACGTACATTAATCCTGAGTCTCCGTGTATTAATCAAATAAACTCTACTCGTGTTTGAATCCGTATAAATTACTAGCTAGTAATTAATTATAACCCGAAATCAGTTATTAAAAATAGGTGCGAGTATCTGCACCTATTTTTTAACAAATTAAAAGTTCGAGAACGAAGACTAGAAACATATTCAGGTGGAGATAGATTGCGTTAATGATGTGTCATCTTATCAACTCTCCTACTCGGTTACTCGGGACCTATTTTACGTGGGTAGTATTATGGCTAGTTTCCGGTCTTTAGCAAATAGCAAGACAATATGCACTTTGATTTAGTGTCTTTTCACTTTACTCATAGATCAACCAATTTGTTGGCTCATACCTTGGCCCGAACAACGAATTCTCATTCTAATTCATATACTTCGTTATTTTCGGTACCTTCTTGTATTCAACATTTTTTCAATTAATACTAGCTCCCCCGTCCTATTTTTGTTAGTCAAACTTGACTTTTCAAGTCAACGGTGTATAATTTTGATCGATTAAATATTTATATACAGAAGTATTGGTAATATGAAAATGATATGAAAACGTTCTTTGTTAAAAGTACTATTATAAAGTATTCCGTGTAAAATTATTAAATATTACATAAATATATTAATTAAAATAATCGATCAAAGTTTATCATCTTTTACTTTTCCGGTCAAAGATGACCCCGACCAAAAATCTAAAATAGATGGTAAGTGACTCTATATATTTTTGGCCCTCAAAACAAAACACTTTCTAACGGAAGTCATGACACTTTTGGTCTTTAGTTATTCCACAACTTTTAATGTGGACCCGTTTCCTTGTTCTCGGAATCCGATCATTCAATTGTTCTAATTTTGTATTACTCTGTAATAAAAACATTGATTCCTTGATTCCTTCCAAGCCAGGTTTGTCAAAGTTATCATTTCTCAAAGTCGTTTTTGGGTCCGAGGGGGCGTTTTAATGAGTTAAAGACCGAACTTTTTAGAATTGGCCGGATGAGAACACATTCAATGTACGGAGTAGTTTTTATGTTAATGCATGTCTCCAATTCGATCAAGTGTGACAAAATTCTAATGTTCCCATCAAAAGTTAACTAATTAGGCTATTGACTTAAATGCTAAAGTACATATTTAAAATCGCCAAAGTTATTCTTTGAGTGCAAAAACTGGTAAAACAAAAACAGTGCGTTAAACGATTCTTTTATTCCTTTAGACCATTAAAAATAATACTCCCTTCAATCCCTCCATCCATTAAAACACTATCATCTTAATTTTTTGATCAAACAAGTTGAACTTTAATCAATGATACATTTTTTTATGAAATGATTTATAATACAGTATAAAAATTATACAAAAATGTTGTTTGTCGTAAGTACTTTCAAAAAGTATAAAATTTATACTCCATAACGTAACTTTCATAAAAATATATTACGTACTAATCAAAATTATAGGGCACGTTTTGTTACGGTTCACGTGAAAAGTAAAAATTGACAAAGTTTGAAAGACGGAGGTAATATTTGTTTTAATTTGAAAGAAATACAATACTCGTACAAATTTAGAACAGTTTTATATGATTATGTGTGACAATGTTTTAACCATGCGTGCATCGATAGTAAATTAATGTTGATTATACTTTGTACAGCGTTTTAAAGTTGAGTTGATCCTACTTTATCGTTTCATTTATTGTATGACTTTCTTGGAGTTTCTCAACCTCGCTTGATTATGAATGAAAAAACTAAGTTCCTGAAAAAAGTTAAGTTGATTGCAAAAGGTGCTATTGAAACAAAAAATATTAGGTATGTTTGCAAATAAAAGAGAAATTAATTAACAAAAAAATTAGATATCACCATCATCGTTGTAAACACCTTATTCCAAACCGGCCACTTGAATTGGTTCGTTAATTATATTCGTTTCAAGAATGTAGTTTTTTACCCTACGTACTCCTTCTTTCCCTAATTGAGTTACAAATTTGACTTTTTTGAGTCAAACATTATCATTTTATTCAATAAATTAGTATATCAATTCTTATTTAATTTTAATTTGTATTTTGCAACTTTATAGAGATTTTAATGTAGTTTCAGAATATGTAAATTTTAATATTAAAATTGAATTATTTATCAATAGAAATGATTTAACTTTAATATTGCTTTACCAAAAAAATGTTGACTTTGCAAAACAAATTGGGATGAACTTAGTATTATTTTTTTGCATTCAAACCTTAAGGGAGTACGTTAATGTTTGCAATTTTAAGCCTGTAACTAACTTTCGGTTGTACTCCTTATTAGTGTTGTAACTTTACTCACCTACACATTTCATTCATATATGTCCATTTCAGGGACTTTTCCACTGTAAAGTTAACTTTCCAATGCGGTTGTACTCCTTTTTTCATTCATATATTCACCTTATTAGTGCATAACTTTCCAATTAAATTCATATATTTTAAGCCTGTATCAAAATTTACGTCAAAACGTATAATTTATCGTGTAAAAGTCCTTAATGCAGACAAATTAAATTTATTAGTTACAAGCGAATCTACAAGTGATGGAATAAAGTTAATTGTATGATAAAAATATGAACACATCTAAAAGTGAGGAGCTGTCCTCCCTCAAGCAATCCCGGCCAATTCACACAACATTATATATATATATGTGTGTGTAGAAGTGTATATAACATAAAATTATGTTACATTTGCAGCATAAACTAAGTCTAGTTACACAATACCCATAATGTGACCGACCATTCGTGAAAAGTGTGACTGAATTATAGTACTCCGTAGTATAAATTCGCTTTCACTGAGATTTTTTTTGGATACGCCACTCATATTTTATTTTATTTTATTTTATTGGTAGATGAAATTAAGTTTTGCATAATTTTTGCTCCATACGGCCTAATAAATATAATATTGCATGCATGCATGTGATATGATGGGAGCGGTGATATGATATAGGTGAGCGCATCGTGCCACCGGTGTGGAAGAAAGGGGCGGAGCTGGAGCTACCGGACGGCATGCAAGAAGTACAACCTGCACGTTGCATGCGTGAAGGAGATGCTGGTGGATAGCTGGCATCAGATTTATTCCGGCCGGAGATCATCTGGGAACTCTTATTATGATGAAAGTGGGAGTAGAAAACTGGAGACGACGGCTGCCGGCGGGGAAATCCCGAGCCTGAAGGGAACTTTGCAGACATATCACAGGAAGAGCAAAGGGAAGAAAGTGGCGAGATGTTGTGAGATGGCTGTTCTTGCTCTCCAGTTTGTCATTTCTGCTGTTCTGGGAGACCCTACTACTCTCATTGCTGGTGTTGTTGCTTCACTCATGTCTAAATGAATCCAAACAAGTCAAATCGATCTTAATAAGTTTAAGTTTTCATTTGTGTTGCATGCATGTTCTTTGTGTAGTTTTAATGCATGAATTGCACGTATTTCTCTTACATCTAGGGATGGCAATTTAACCCAACCCGATGGATACCCGCACCGAACTGAACCGGTTAAAATGGGGCAAACCGCTTTGACTGGGTAACGGGTACAAGGCGGGGAATACCCGATTTATGTAAACGGGTAATGGGGCGGTTATGGTTTTACACCTATCCATTACCCGCCCCGTTTAATCTGGATACAGTTACTCGCACCATTACCCGACCCGCACAATTAACTTATACAGAGTAATTTTTTAATGGATTATGTACTACGTATTTATTATTTAATACAGGTGAAATTTATAAGAATAATCCCTACTTTTAGAGATTCTACAATAATAATCCCTACTCACACTATCCACAAAAATAATCCAAACTAGCAAATGTATTTATAAGAATAAATTGAGATGAATTAAAATTAATGTTCGTTTAATACTCACAACCCTTATTCCCACTTTTCTTCCCCCGACTCTTCTTTTCGGGACAAATTCAAACTAAAACTTGTTTAATATCAACATCATTTCCGCCATATGTGGTTTCCACCCACAGACGGATGGGCAGTCTGAAAGCGTCATACGGATCTTAGAAGACATGCTGAGGGCTTGTGCATTGGAGTTCCAAGGAAGTTGGGACAACCACTTAGCACTTGTGGAGTTTGCCTATAACAACAGTTATCAGGCAAGCATCGACATGCCTCCATACGAGGCATTGTATGGGAGGAGGTGCCGTACACCGTTATGCTGGGACGAGGTTGGCATGGCCAAACTCGAGGGTACTGAGTTGGTTGAGATCACCAAGTCAAAGGTGAAGTTGATTCGAGAAAGACTCAAGGCGGCACAAGATAGACAGAAGAGCTATGCCGATAAGCGTTGGAGGACCTTAGAGTTTAAGGTTGATGATGAGGTATTTCTTAAAGTTTCTCCTTGGAAAGGAATCATTCGGTTCCAAAGCCGAGGGAAGCTTAATCCACGCTACATAGGTCCCTTCAGAATTCTGGAGAGGATTGGGGCCGTAGCATACCGTCTGCAGTTAACTCTTGAGTTAGAAAAGATACATAATGTGTTTCATGTATCCATGCTTAAGAAGTATGTACATGATCCCTCTCACATATTGGAAAAACCGCCTGTAGAAGTACGTGAGGATTTGAACTACGCTGTGCAACCAATCAAGGTCACCGATAGAAAGGTGAAGAAATTGAGGAGTAAAGAAGTCCTAATGGTTAAAGTTCTTTTGAAAAGCGATCGAGTCGAAGAAGAGACATGGGAAACGGAGGCTTTGATGAGGAAGCAGTATGCTTTCCTATTCGAGTAGAGCTGTGAATTTCGGGGACGAAATTCCCGTTAGGGGGGGGGGGGGGTGAACTTGTGACACCGCACCCGAACGTCATTGAAAATTCAATTAAAATTCAAAGTTTATGTATTGAATTTCCGATTCCCAAACAATTGTAAAACGATTAATGTTTTACGTAATTAATGATTGAATATTGTACTGTTCAAACTCGTATATTGGTGTCGGGTTTTGCAAGTAGTTATTTGGCCCTTATTAATGAACATAAGAGCCCAACATTACCTAAATAATGTTACATAACCTTTCAAGGCAAGTTGAGGAAGGATGGGCGGCCCAAACATTATTTTGGGCCCAACCTGCTAAAAATAGTAAGTATTCAAGAATGACGTCCTAGGCTCACTCGAGGGTGAACCACACGGATAGTAGTCCAATAATATGAATGACAATGTCAAAATAAGTGATTGAATGATTAGAGAAGAATACAAATGTCTATGGTCCCATCTTGGACATTATTGAGCTAAATAATGGGAGTAGGACTTTTCCTCCTATAATATCCATCATGTAAATTATTGGGATGACCCTACACAAATGGGGGATTAATAATATGATGTATGAAGTTGAATTGGCCTACATAAATTACAATGAGTACAAAAAGACATCTTTTGACAAGAGATAAAACAATAGGACCCATTCTTCCATTTTTGGGTGTATTGATTGATATTTTGCTCCCAAATTAATTGGGGAACACCATGCTGCGCCCCATCTCTTCCTTCCACCTGCAAGACAAGAAAATTAATGTTAGGGGTCTTCCACAGCTGACTTTAGGGGCTGGACTTGACAAAGGAAGCAAGAGGGAACCCCACCTAGTCTATTTTCGCACAAAAAGATGGTGCTGGTTGTCTCCCTCCATGAGTGAAGTTATAATCGACCAAATAAGGTGAATGAGTTGTCCTTGGATAGCCTTTGAAGTCTAGTTTCATATTTGTGTGGTCTCTGTGCGATAGGGGGGAGTTTATCATACAAAAATTGAGCTGGAGTGAACTGCTGTCTGTAAACTCGAGCAGTGAGAGTGCTGAGGCTGTTTGGTTGATATCTAGAGTTATACCAATCCAAATAAGGCGTTAAAGATACCAAAAGAAATCGCTCAAGACTAGGAATCCGTGAAGGTCTGGTTTGCATCAATCGGGGTAGTGGAAGGCTTCCAAATCGTCCGAGAAAAACGCAACCTCGCAGAAACGGATTTACTCTCCAAAAAGTGAGTGTTAATCCCAAAACTTTACTTTTCATCTTCCAAATGATATGAACGATTGATGTGACTATTATATACTACTCCAAGTGTATAATATGTCCTCATAAGGTTATTTTATTGATGTAAAGGTTAGATACTAACCTAGAGCAAATCTTGGAAAAACTAGGAAACGAGTTAACTGGAAAACACCCATTCTAGGGGTTGTTTTCATATCAACGATTAGGGGTTGAACTAGCACTTGAGGAGGCTGTTTAACACTCATTTCCAAGCAAGGAATCGGTTCTCAAACCTTCTTGGCCGAGGCTTTGGTCGTTGGATCGAGGAGGAAGGTTTTAAAGCTCATTTGAGGTGAGGATTGACATCTAGTTGCTTACAACTTGTAGGTTAAGCATGAGATTACCTAAATGCCTAAATCATAATTTTTCATGGATTATGATGATTAAATATTGATGAAATATTGATATAGTTCCCAAAGAATTAAATTGGAAATGATTTGAGGATGTATGAATAATATGAGATTTCATGAGTTATAAATGAACTATTTTGTGAAATACGCATTTTACTCATGTATGAATTATGAGGATACATAAATGGATATTTATGTATTAAGATTGAATACTTAAGTTGTTGCTACATAATTATAAATATGTAGAGAATTACAAAATGAGAATATTTGAATGATAACAATAATCTTAATAGTATTGAAATACTAGTTAGTGATTATTGAAAATTGTTGTTGGAATTGATCCTAGGGATTGGATTGTATGAAATGCACTTGAATATACTTCAAGTGTATATGATGACTTAGTATGAAACTAAGGTTAAGTGGTGGAAGTCTTTAAGGATGACCCATGGTAGTTTATCGATATGTCAATTCTAGGCATAGGGTTGCTTAAGAATTGGACCTTCATGCATGGTGATGTGATAGAGCCGAGCTCTAGGATGCATGGTAAGGTGGTAGACTTGTAGCCTATGTATTGAATAACTAGAGCCGAGCTTTAGGGCTTGCGTGGTGATGTGATAGAGCTGAGCTCTAGAACGCAAGGTAAGGAAATTGACCCGAGTGACATGAATTGTATGGTGATGTGGTAGAGCCGAGCTCTAGAATACAATGTCATGTATTGGGGTTGGACTCTATGAGTTGTCGTGGCTTATAGTCACGGGGAATGGGAATGTTGATTTCTAAATGAATATGGGCCCACGGGCCGACTACTTGACTTTTATACAAAGTAAGTATATTTTCAAACGGGGTAACTTAGGGTTACAATCATAATGTAATATCACCCTATTTGAGGGTCTTGTGTTTGAAATACTTGCTGTATATCTATTAGATGCCTGCCACACCAGTACTTTATAGCCATATAGAGTACTGACCCCTTCGGGGGCGTCCCACCACCATTTCAGGTTGAGGCTAGAGCTTGCATCCTGTGCTCGTTGATCGAGTGATTCCTCGGGGAGAAGACTTGGTTCGTGCTTCCTCCATTCTATTTGAAACATTAATAAATTTGCTCATGGATATTTTACTATAGAGCCTGTGTGCTCATGAATAGCCTTGTGTGGCCTTTCGGTTTGAACAATGTTTTCCGCTGCGTTATGAAATACTTATTATGTTTGTTTATGGATGTTATATGTGTGAATGATATTCAAGACGCCTTGTATAATATGAATGTGTTGGACTGCGGTTGACTATTCGTATTGTACGGCTGGTTGTTGACGTGTCCGGGTAGGTCCGGGGCGTGACAAGTACATTAGCATATGGCACTCATTCCCTCTAATACTTTGAAAGAATATTCGGCTAATCAGCTATCCTTTGCAATTTTTAGAGTTGGTGCTCTAAAGTTCACTATTTTAGATTTTGAATTTTGAATATCATTCATCATCCTTGCTTTGTCTACTTCTTCATCATCGAATCTCCTGTATCTATCACAAGGAGTTTTTCGACTTCTAAAGTTGATGAGTATTTACAAGAGTTATTTTCTTTACGTATTGATTATTTGATTTTCGTGATTTTCTCTACACATTTTCCACATTGTGGTTCTCTTAATTTTCCATTCTATAACTTCTATAGTACTCTCGCGCGTATGAGTTTAAAGTCCAAATACTGGTAAGCATTACTCTAATTTGCTTTAATTTATGTAATTGCTGAGAATTTTGTAGAGGTGTATTGGATTATTAAAATAATTTGTTGGATTGGTTGCTCTATTTTATATCAAGTTTTAAATTTGAATACATAAATCATAGCATCAGAAGTACGATTTTTAGAAATAATTTCAAATATATAATCAAAATAAAAGTTGTGGACAAATATGCGACTCTAGTAACTTTAGTAATTACAATTGAATTTAAATGTTATATCGTAGTGATCATAAAACTTATCCATAGTACGTAACTTATAACCACATTTTTGTCCATAGATTTTTTATCAGTAATATTTTAGGGAAAAACCTCCCATTTTTAATATATTACTTGTATACATTATGATTTTTAAATTTAGATGTTGAATGTTGGTGGGATATGGCTATTGGTTTTTCGGAAGTTAAATGTTTTTGTAATTCATATTGAGATTTTACTATCGAGACAAGACTTAATATTTTGATGTTCATGTGATAAAAGATTCATAAATTTGAATCTAGACATATAATTGTGAATATCAGGTTCAAATGTAACTTTTTATGATGTTTTAAAATACTTGATTGGTGGCATAGTGCTAATTAATTTTTTATTTTTATTTTTTAGGTGGTCAATGATAAGTAATTAATCATCATTTTAGAATA